GCGACCTTGAACGGCGGTATGCCGACAGACGGCTCACTGACGCCGTCGGTGAGCGGAGGTCGGAGCAGGTAGCCCGGGCGTTCTCTGACGCACGGCAGATGTCCACCGTCTTCTTGAGGTCCAGCCCCGGATCCTCCAACAGACGCTTCACCGTCTCCTCGTCCCGCAGGCCACACACAATCTTGTCACGCAGGCGTGAGTCGTAACAGTGTGTGCAAAAGTCGCAAAATGCCGCGAGCTCCTTCACTTCGCACAGAAACTCCTCAAAATTCTCGCCCTGCTCCTGGACACGGGCGTAGAACGCACGGCGGTCGACCAGGACACTGCGCTGCTTACGGAGATGACTCTCCATTGCGTCTACCACCGCGGAGAGGGGAGAGTCGTCCGCTATCGTCAGTCCATAGCGCAGCACCCGGTGCCAATCTTCGTCGAGAAGACTGAGAAGGGCAGCTCTCTGGGCAGTGACGGGCAGCGCGGACGCGCCGGTCAGAAGCATGTACCCGTCCAGCTTCTCCCTCCATACAGCGAAGTCGCGCAGGGATGTGGAGGACGACAGCTGAGGCGCCGGCGTTGCAGCAGCAGGCAGGCGCACGGGCGGGGCGGCAGCCAACGTCCGGGCGGCTGTCGCCGCCGAGGCATCGTCGGCAGCGACGGTAGCGGGTGGCTGTCGGTCGGCGACCAGTCGCTCCACCATCTGAGTGAGCCGCTCCTCGCGCTGCGCTGAGTCTCGCTCCCGCTGCGCCGACAGCTCCGCCTGCTGCAGGAGCAGCTGCGTCAGTTTCTCAATGTCACTCATCGTCACAGATCACGGCGCGCTATACACTAATCACTGATACACTGATACACCGATCACTGCGCGCACGCACGGAACCATCTACTGACCGCGCCATGTTATGTTCGTGATTCACGGTTCGAGTGAGAGAGAGCTTAAGAGAAACGCGATTTATTTACTGCCGGTGCGAATGGGCCGAGAGAGTCCTCCAAAACTAAACAAGTATGGCCAGCGCCACGCCTAGTCGCCCGCGCCAGTCATGCCGCTTGGCGCGCACGATCAGCTGAGCGTCGGCAGGGGCGCTCCCAGGCACACAGAGGTGGGGCCGCAGAGGCGGTCCAAGTACACACCCCCTATACCCGAACACAACATTAAGAAGCACTGGTTTGGGCCTTTGGAACTTCATTCAGGGGTGTCGGTTGAACTCAGAGGTGGCAGGGTGGGGCCCTCAGCTGGGCACCGCTTTGGGGCTTTCACAGCCGCCGGTGAGGGCCAGCTCGCAGGCGCCGTTGTGGGGGCCTTCAACCATTGGTTTAGGGGGTCATTACAGGCGTGTGTGGAACCCTTAGAGCTGCTGGTCCCTGATAGGCCGGTAAGGGCCCTCAGAGGCCGGCAAGTAGCCCTCAGAGGCCGCCAATGGGCCCTGGGAGGCCGGCAAGGGGCCCTCAAATGCCGACAAGGAACAATAAAAAGCCGGTGTGTGGCTCTTATGGAGAGAAGTGTGGCTATTGTGTGGCTATTCGGAGCACATAAGGTGTCCTTTCGAGCCCTGTGGGGCCCTTCTGAGTCGAAAATGCCAGCGTGGACCCTCAGCCCCTCGGGCCCGAGAGGCCCCCTGATCCGATGGGGGCACGTGCCCCTGCCCCTCCCCCTCCGGGTGCAGATAGAGAATGCAATCGGCGGTGCGGAACACAACAATTGCAATCGTTCCTTCTCCCGTCGCGAGGTCGCCCATCCGACCCATATATCCCAAGATTGTCAACCCTGGGGCTCGGGCCTCGGGTCGGCAATGTATCGGCAAGGAAATCAGCTTTAGGTCGGTAAAAAAGTTATTAAGAGTCATAAGTTGTCGTTACGTTCAGTAATAGCAACGATAAAGTGCCAAATGTACCCGACGTACGCCTTGGAGCCGGGCGCCGCGCGGTATCCACCAGTGACGTCACGCTAATGCTTAGCGACCGGTCCATTGGAAATTGCGGGATGATTCTACCTCTCTTATACGGCCTTGGGCAGAATGTTACGTTACGACACGGACCCACCTGATCCAACGACCTTAAGCCTGGATCCGGTGGATCAATAAGATTTAGAGCCCAAGTTCAGCGTACCGCGATGACCCGCAGGAAGACAGTGACTAGATCCTCCTGGATGTATGCATGTTGTACAGGGCGCCCTGTCATAGCCACTCGCTGGTTTCCAAGGCGCTTGGCAAACGGTAGCGGGGCCAGCGACGTTCATGGGAGGATCTGGCTTACTCACCATCTCGCCAGAACGGCCTCACATTCCACTACCTAGACGACCCGTTTGTCTGTGACAGTTACCGAGGGAGCCACCTGCACTGAAACGGTCACCTACCTGGAAACCAGAAAGGAAAACAAATGAGTACACATAAATGGGTTATGAAGCGACGATTAATATACGTTGCAATAGCGGCAATGGCAAGAAGCTCAAGTGGGTTACATATTCACAACCTTTCTTCCTAAATACACAACTCAACGTCTACTCGCCAATAGCATTCCAGTTCAATGACCTTCATGAAAATCTAGCTGAAGTAATGATGAACTTATGGTAATTTTTGGAGGGTTATACACGTATAACAGTTTTCGGGAGAGGGCAAAAAGCCCTAATCTCAATTCGCGCCCAAGTCAGCATTACTGGTAACATCAGGCCCATGTCACTCCACTTTTGATGACATCATAAGGGGGCCTCCGGACAACAATGGCGCGGTGCGCCACAATCGCTTCAAAGCTGCTTGCCAACAGTTGCCATTTTTGAAAATATCATTTTGAAATAAAGTTACAAGTAATAAAATTTTGTAATAAAGTTGTTGATTAAATCGATACCATATCTACAAACTTACTGAAAAATGATTTATTCATAGTAAAAATATAAGCTCCATGCGTTTTTACGTTGCTTTCCTGCAACTGCAGAGGATTTTTAAATCATCTATATCTTCAAAATCGGCCATTTCTTAGCATATTGCTGCTCTTTTTTATCGCTAGAAAATTAGTTGGACTTTCCAATGACATCAACGGTTGAGCGATATGCGTAGAGTGTCACCAACAATCTTCAAATGAAGTTGGTCATTTTTACGTTGTAAAGGAATGGAGCACCCCTTGCGAGCATCAAGGGTGACGTCACTCAGGATCTGTCTCTGATTGGTCGGCGGGAGAGTGACTGTACCTTCTATAGATGGCCTTGGGTAACATGCGAATAGTTTCCGGACATACCCTCAGACCGATTCTTTTTTTTTACTTTTTTATTGACATATTCTTGCATACAATATGAGCAGACCGAACCCTGCTTGTACGCATCTTCCGGTCCCCTAGTGCGCGTTATCTGCAGTAACGTCGTGCTGTAGATAGTGCCAAGGGATAAAACTCAAATAACGAATATAAATGTTATCCATTTATAGTTTTACGCTATTGAAAAGTTGAATAACTACTTTAACCCGCCACCGCCTGGGGGGTCGGATCCGACCCCCCTCCATTTTTCTTAAATAACTCATGAACCGCTTACGCTATCAACTTGAAACTTGGCATACCTTCTCCCTCATCAATTTGACGTCTCCTGTGTAATTTTTTTTAAGAAAAAAATTCATTTTTTAGATATATCGATTTTAGTGATGTAACTACATGGCATTTTCAGTCAAAAAGTGGTAAATGTTTGAAAAATCGCCAAAAATCGAGGTTTGAAGCATATTGCAAATTATCCCGCGCCCTGGTGGGGTCTGTTTATAACGCGACCTGGTGGGGGGCTATTTTTTGCCCCCCTCGTATCTCCGAAACTACTGACTTTTTTTCTTAGCCCTCGTTTAGTTATGTATGGTATAAACGATTTTTTATGTTTCAATGCACACTTATCACCAGCACAGTGACTTAGGGTCACATATAAGTTATAGCCATTACCATCGGATTCGGCGTGAACAATAAGCCATAAAACATGTGTCGCACGCCCATGTAGCAGAAAGTGAAAACCGTGACCTTGCGTGACCTGACCTGACCTTGACCCGTACTTAGTATGACCTCTATACGCACATGGTACCTTCATTAGGTCTTTGAGGTCATTTTTGGTGAGTTTCGAGCAGCAGCTATCGATTCCGCTGTCCGTAAGCCTAATCATGCAAAACCCCAGAATTTGACCTTTGACCTGACCTTGACCAGAAAGTTGACCTCAATCTTAAAATCTTAAGAGTGCTTTGGGAAGTTCTCGTAGAGACCTTTCGAACGTCGCCTCGCGGGGCTCGATACGACCATTGGTTCTCGAGATAACAGGGGGGTCGGATCCGACCCCCCCCCCTCCCCCAGGCTGTCGTGGGTACGGAAATAGCCCAGGCGGTGCCGGGTTAAGTTCTTATTTCTTAAAATGCGAAAAGCGTGAAAAGTAAAGCATCTCATTGAATCATGTCACCGAACTTCACCCTATTAGCTCCGTGCAGTTGGAAACTGCTCCCAGCCCACTGCTCAGTGCTCACCGTCTAAGTTGACAGCATACCGGAATCCGATTCGAGCCACTTCGCCACTAGGAACATGTATCTGGCTCCCGATCTCGACGGAGATGGACTTCGGCCAGTGGCACCGATCACGCTTCAAACCTCGATGATGAGCTTGATACGCTGACCGGTGAAATTGCAGATGAAGTGGGTGAGCGTGGCGCGCCAAGTCCAAGTGGGGGCACAGGAAACGTTACACGCGAGACTAAACTGAGCCGCAACCCCTTACTGGGAATTTCCTGACCAGGTAGTGGTGGTGAAGAAACAACGCAACAATCGTTGCTTAGCGTGACTTCTGGACTCTGAAATATCCCATCGCACATTATTCTCAGGATCATGATTCTAAAATCAAAGCAATGAAGCTCTGCTAACACAATCATTGATTCTCAGCTGCTTGCAAGATGTGTAAAACATGTCAGCCAGCACAGACCGATGCCCCATGGCTAGTGTCCACGTTCCGTTACCCTGGTTCGTCATGGTCAGGGTCAGGGGGGCGTGACCAGCCGCGGGCCCGTCCCGCCTCACACCGCCACCTACTTAAGGCCGCAGCGACTGTGGGAGAGCATCAGTTTCACAACGATCCCACTACAGTCAACATGAAGCTGGTGAGTAGCAGATAGGTGCATCAGTCACCTTTGCTTTTGGAGTATGGACCGTGATAACATATCGAATCAGCCCCCTGAACCACCCCACTTGCCGTCAAATCTCTTAAATCGATTTTTGTCGCTGATTAGATGAATTATCATTAGAATCAAAAGCAGACCAATACAAATAAAAAAATCGATCAAAAAGTAGCCCTGGCGGCTTAAAAAATGACTTATTCTTAACGGTACTTTCGATGCTGAGGAGTTCTTCATGACCAAAGAAGCATAACGATTTCATTCTATTTTCAGTTCATCATCGCTGCTCTGGCCCTGGTGGCCGTCGCCGACCGGCCCCAGCCTTCCTACAGGCCCCGTCCCACCTACGCTGCCCCGACCTACGCTGCCCCGACCTACGCCCCGGCCCCGACCTACAAGCCCCAGCCCAAGTACGCTCCTGCCCCGTCCTACGGCCACTCGAGCTACAAGCCGATCGCTATCCTGGAGCAGGAGGACGTCCACCCCGGGGATGGCACCTACAGCTCCAAGTTCTCCACCGAGAACGGCATCTACAGGTCAGTATCAATAATAATACAAAACCAAAAGAACAGGAACGAGCACGAAATGATACTGGAAAACAAAGCCGTCTTTCGCTAAATAGAATATCAAGTGTGCCTAATAAATTGTGAACGTAGATTAGCTAAGCGACAAATTATCATACAATCTTGACTGAATGTTTGTTCTTCTTTTAGGTCTGAGACTGGCGTGCCCGTCGCCGGCTACGGCAAGAACGCCTACGGCGAGTCGGAGGACCTCTACCGCCAGGAGGGCTCCTGGAGCTACACCAACGGCTACGGCGAGGAGGTCAAGGTCGCCTTTGTCGCCGACGAGAACGGCTACCAGCCGTCCAGCGACATCCTGCCCACCCCGGTGCCCACCGAGTACCCGACCCCCGAGGTGGACCCCGCCTACGTCGAGCCCCAGCCCAGCTACGGCAAGCCCGCCTACCAGCCGACTTACAAGCCCGCCTATAACTAAGCTGTTCATATTGTGCGTGTAAATTGCCCATGGCAATTGTTAGCTCAATATCCCACGCATTATTTATATATTTATTCATGCAAACTTCATGTTGTTTGGTTGTTTGTGTAAAATACACCTCAGCATTTATGCCTCTCTTTGCTATCCTCCCCAGTGACAATGCTCATATCAACGAAAAGGCAGCATTTTGTGGGGCGAGGAAAGGAAGTTGGTGGTTAAGGAGGAATGAAGGAACTCTTGGATGGGAGCTGGCAGACCATTTTTCATTATTATGGTTACATAGATGACAAACATTGCGCCACAGATAGGAAACATCGAGAAGATATGTATTATTGTTGGCTTATAACTTAATAAGCATTGGTTAAATTCATGTGCATGAGCGATTCGGGATATATGTCATGCAGCGTTCGAACGACATAAAAATTATCCCTTTTATCTCGCAAAGAAAGGAAATCAACAATTTTATTGTAAACCCATCTAATGGCAAAGCAACTTACACGTATCAATAATGTAAACCTAAATATGTATTTTAATCAGGGAAACATCTAGGGAATTTGTCTCCTGCGGAGTTCATCACAATCTTTCGGAACCTAACAGTACTAATAAAATGCTGAAAGTTAAATCTTATATGGCACAAATATCGGGAGGCGTTGATGTTATCGTGACAAGTGGGCTTGCTCTTAGGAAGATCGCCTTTTATGAAGTAAGTGATAGTCCACCTTAACCCTCGCCGGCACAGGCCATTTTGAGTCCTTCGACGGCACAAGGGGGGGGGGGTTGGTTGGTACGACCCCCCCCTCGCGTTTGGCCCCTGATCGAGCTAGAGCTTCGCGGAAAAAACGAGCGTGTTGCCCGTCACGAGACGAAGCCGATGATACCCAATTTTAAGGTCCTAGGTCATCGGGTGACCTTCCAGGTCAGGTCAATGACCCGAAAACCGGGAAAATCGGGACCTGTTAGAAAGTCGTAAAGTGTGGCTGCTATGTGGTTTTCCGGGGTGCTGATCACGATTATCGTGTTAGTTTTGATCAGAGATGATGTCTTTAAGCATTTAGACCAGTTCGGGTCAGGTCAGATCAGGTCAACCGGTAGGGGTTGTGACGGGTATTCGTAATACGTGTCAACCGCCTCGGACAGCTTCGTAACATGTTACGAAGGCACCAAAACTACTTCGTAAATGTTCAAATGGTTGCTAAATTCGAATTCAGCTCCAAAAACTAGCCTAGAAACATGTAAAACTCGAAAAAGTGAACCGAGGTCACCCGAGGTCACCAAAGGTCAATGACCTGACCTGACCTTCAGGTGACCTTGACACCCACCCTAATGCATGGGAGCAACATCAAATCACATGTTTGAACGTTTGAAACCACGAAAAGCTTGCAAACGCGCGGCTAATGCGAGCCGACATGCGCCGAACCGCGATTTCGGCCAAACATGGTCACAGAAAAGAGGTCACAGGTCAAAGGTCATTGGGGTCAGGGTCATCAAATTTTCAGGGTAGGTGTAAAATTGATCAATGCGAGGGTACTGAAAGTTTCGTCGCGATCGGCCGCTTTTTACGCGAGTTATTCGCGAAAAACCTTAGGGGGGGTTGCATCAACCCCCCCCCCCCTGTGCCGGCGAGGGTTAAAGGTAGTGTGCCAGCTTTCCTGGACCATATGGAGTTAAAGGGACCCTCCCAGTTCCCACCTTCAAAAAAGTTTATGAATTGGCATGAAAGTGATGTCGCTCGGTTCAGAAAGAGCGAAAACGAATATCTACCAAATTTCACCGAAAAATATTCACCGGTTTTCAAGATATTAGACTTTTACTTTTGTTTACTTTTTGGGATCTCCGCTGTTCCTAGCGACTTTATTTGGAAGCAATAGTTTGGCAGCTGAAAGTGCGGCACTTGTTGCGCGCAAAGCAGCATATACCACCGCGTGCTACAAAACGTTTCAGTCAAACATTTAAAAATCGTTAGATATCTGCGCTGACGTCACACATTCAGAGGGGTATTCCTATGCATTAGCCCCTCTGAATCAAAATGCTGCAATTTTGAAATTCAATATTTCCGATTTAAGGCATTTCTCGATGTTGTGAGTGCCGAAACCGGTAATTGTGAGCCAGGAACCCCATTTTGGCTATCTCAACTCAAATCTAATGTTAAAGTGGTAGGGTCCCTTTAATGACCCGGATAAGGAGAACCGGATTTTTAGATCTTATCCATACCTTCAAAACTCATGGAAGCGTCTCAAATTTCTACAAATTTTGAGTACCCCAGTGCGAAATTCGCCCCGACGGGTTGTCGGTCGTACCCCAACCACATTTTACACCACTATGAACAATAAATGTACACACGAAAATCTCCATTACCGATAGGCTCATCCAATCAAGTTTCGATAAACCCGTTCATTATCATCTCCTGCGGTTTCGAACACGCCTGTTAGGTGGCTTCTGCTCATACTTTGTGGTGCGCTGGTGGTGCGTCGGGCCGCGCGCTCTGACTTCGGCCAAGAAAAAGGCGTCAGCTGATCATTGTCATTTCTGCCACTTTCGTGTGATGAGATGGGGCCATAACTTAAGAGACGGCTGTTTCATATCAATTATTTTACATAAAATCATATTTCAAACCATAAATTAATGTTCGACAGCCAAATTAAAGAAACAATACGAATACAGGCTTACAGTTTAAGTTCGACATTGTGTTGTCTATGATTAGACAGCTGATAACTCATTCCCGTACGTCGTAACTCTATAATGACCTTTGCTTATTGTCACATGTGCGCCGCATTCACGATTGTTGTCGACGCCTGTTTGCAAGTCAGCCCACTACAGTTGTTACACATATCGAAAAACCGATAAACTTTTAGGCGAAAAAAGCACTATTTCAGGGCCATTTTCGATTTTTTGCGATATTAGGTAAAAACAGAAGCTTCTTATCCTAGGAAAAATAAAATGGGAAATCATTGGAAGGTAGCACACTCCCTTTAAGCCGCGCAAAGCGGGGAGGGGGGGGGGGAGGAGGGCAGAATCTGCCCTCGCTCTGGTGTTTCCATATACTCGCACTTCCAATACATTCCAAAAGACACACGCCAGTTACGCAAAGCGTGCAGTATCATCAATATGACGTGTTCCATAAAGATTAAACGAAATTTGACCCAAAATTCTAGTCAGAGATGCGGGCCAAGAAGGTAGGAGTTATTGATATTTTAGTGACATCATGACACAAACATTGTCAAAAAATTATGTGTTGGAATTATAAACTTTGTATAGAAATCAAAATAGAACAAATCAATTTCCCCATCAGATAGACGTCTTTTTAACCGTTACAAACCAGCTTCAAAAGATTGCCTTACTTGACCTGAAATCGACCTGACATTGAATTGAACCATGGATGATATAACATTATTATCTCATCCATGATTGAACTTAATCCAAATATGGTCCGTATCACCGACTGAGCATGCCCATTGTGTTCCATTAGTGTTCTAAACTGTGTTCTAAACAACCCATAAAACATGCGTCGCACACATCCTTTTCAATAGTTCCTCTTTGGTGACCCGAACTGACTTTTGCCTTGACCTTGGCCTTTCTAAGTATTCGATACAATGCTCCTTCTCTTGTAGACCAAATAAAGCGTTCTTGATGAGCAATCTGAATCCATTCTTCGACAGTTGGGCTCAAAAACCAATTATATAGAAACTTGTAGTTTTTACTCTTGACCTAACCTTGGTCTGAACGGTAGCCTAAGGCAAAAAGACTTGGAGTAAAAAGATCCGTCTTGTTGAGAGCTTTTCAGTGAACTTTCCTCCATCTTTCTACGATCATCCGTTCGGAAATTAGACAAGGAGGCTGGGTCGGCACCCCCAGCAGGACGCGTTCGGCTGCATACCTCAGCGGGGCGCATGGTGTCAAAATTATGTCTGAAACAATGCCTAAAAAACCATGTGGTAATATTTAGGAAATTGCGCTATCTTTATGATATTCCTAGGGAATCTGACCTAGCCTTTCATGAGGAGGTCAGTGTGACTTTGGTCACCGGATCGAGCAACACCCAGACGTCCAACAAAATGCTGCCTTACCGGTGTCCATGGCCATGTGTACCGAATCGCAACAGGGGCACTGCTTAAAAGATTCTGTCTGTATACGGCGGGCTAGCAGCTCAATACTGACTTACACGATTGTCGGAAATGCCTGCAGCAGCCACCAGGGTTGGTCACATACCTGAAACACAAAGAAAAAATCCGTCAGTTATTGTGTTACCGAACCTTGCTGTATGAGCTAAAAACGAAGGAAGTATTATGGGTACGTACGGCAGAGTTGGCCTGCGCTACGCTACGTTACGCACTACGTTACGCTACGTTTGCTTTTTTGGCCAAAACTACGATACCGAATTACGATACGTTATATATTGCTACGTTACTGAATTACGGTATTTGTTAATTAACGCAGCAAATTATTTTATCGTACTACGTTATGCAATATGTCATCATCCACTACCCAGTGGAAACGGTTAGTCTCTAGTAACTAAGCCAAATACTGCGCACAATGATCGCCGGCTTTGCAGCATCGTTGGTGCGGCGGTGCCTACGCGCTACTCGCTAGATGCGCTGGACTTCCGACAGGGTCCAGTCCCAGGGACAGGGTCCCTGGGACTCCCCAGTGGGAAATCCCCGGTGTCGGTCCGGCCGGAAGAAAGACTCAGTGGTATTCATATAGTAGGCGTCTCACATCCGTGTAAACGGCCGGAGGTCTGGTGACGATATGAGTAAACTGAAGAAAAAAAATATGTACCTTATACAAATACAGCTGACCTGTAATTGCTACGGAATCCATTTCGTAGTTCCTATGTTATTCTATTATTTTCCGTACTACGCTACCGAAACATCCCAATTACGCTACGAAACGGAACTGACAGCTACGGGTTACCGAAAACTTCAAAATAACGTAACGTAGGCCAACTCTGACGTACGGTCAGTCTTGAAAGTACTGCGCAACGTTGCAGTGGATCCATCAAGCCCGACAAAGAAAGGGCTGCTTAATTTAAGTCACCGAACCAATTGAACTGGGATATAGATGAGGATATCAATTGGTTCGGTGGCTCCCAAATTTAGCGTCTCTTCCCCAGAAGGGGTTCATGGACCCAC